TAGGTTACACTCTTTGAGCCACAAGGCCCTGAAACCACAATGAAGCCACATTTCTGCTTTCCACACAGATGGCCTGAATGCACCTTGCATGAAGTTCCTTCTAGGAAGGACCTAAGGCTGGTTGTCTGCCTGTTGTCACTCAAACAGCATGGCCAAAAGCAGAGCGGGGAAAGGGGACACTACAGGCTTGATAGGGTGCCATGGCCATCCACTTGGCAAGTTAACGTACTCTGTAGTGTTATAAAATACCTGTGAGATTTCCCTCATTCAAAGCAGTTATAGCTGGATCATCCCAGTGTCAACCTGGAGAAAACTGAGCAGCAAGTATCTCAGTGGACAGTGAATCTCATTTTGAGCCCGGGCCTGGAATAACTTTTGCACGTATTTGTTGTGCAAGCATGAATCTTGTGCCCCTACGTCAGGACCCATTTGTATTTTTAACAGCCCCATCCATAAAGCGGAAAGCTAAGCAGCAGCACCGCAGAGCATGGGATATTTGGGTTATAAAGCTAAGTGCACCGCAGGTGGTCCATTCCAGACGAACTAGTGACTCTTTGCAAAATGCAAAGCCACTTGGTTTCATACAAGGCTGTTCCACACAAGTTAGTTTCAAGAAAGCAGCCTTCTTGGAAGTAAACTTTCCCAGTGCAGACAAGCTCTCAACTAAGAAATGGCACACGGCTCGAGGTTAGCAGAGTATGTTATTTGACTTCTGGCAGAACCTCAAAGTCTTTTCCCCCTCCTGTGGTCTCCAGTAAGATGGAAGGCGGGGGGGAAAAAAAAAAATCAAACTAAAAGCACTGGAAGACAGCATCCTACAGCAAAGCTGTGCAATGACATGATTTCACAAATTTTCCAATACCAATACTTCAGAATGCCAAAGGCTACAAATGAAACAAGACAGATATTTCCGGGACTTCTGTACGACAAATTACCAGCTCCAAAGACTTCTCTTCTACCTTTCTGTATTTATGAAGCAGAAGGCACCTAGTTAGTCTTGTAACTACTCAGTATGCACTTGAACTAAAAAACTACTTTTTTTTTTTTTAATTCATATGAAAGAGCTTTGAACTCTTTCAAAGGCTTAGCTTGATATATTGATTATTTTTTTAAAGCTTTCACCAGACTAATTTCCATCACTTCATTCCATCACCCCAGTTCTCCAACAAAGCAGATTTTATGTATTTTTTAATTTCTGTTCTTCTCAAACACCCTGCATTTCTCTTATATGGAAAAAATATAATAAACTAACACTGTTGCGGGGGTGGGGGGAAGCAATAACATTACTAAACCACTTTAGACCAACAAACAAGCATATTCTAAAACAAAATAAAAAGCACCAAATGAAGTATAAACCTGCAAGTAAAGTGAAAAGTTTCAAATGTCAACTTGAGAAGTGGATGGAAGGCAGGCCTCATTTACCAAAACATCAAAAATGGAACACTGCTTTTGAATACTCAAAAAAGTAGTTAGTATTTTGAAGATGGGAAAAAAAAGAAAAAAAAAAAGGAAGGTGGAGGAAAGATGTTTTTCTTCTAATATTCTAATATATGCTACAAAGAGGAAAAAGCAACCATGTCCCATTAACATCAGAAGCCTCCCTTCAAAACAGACAGAAAATATCCATTAAAAAAGTGAACATTTTATAAAATTCAGTTTGGGGGATGTGAGCCATTATTTTATTCTCCAGAGCAAAATCAGGTGGGGGAGTGGAGGAGGGAGAAGAGACTAGTATATTACAGGGAATGCACAATATTTTCTTGAGCTATTCTACAGCAATACATTCTGATGAAAGGAAATTACATTCTGACCCTAAAAAGGTAAAAAAAAAAAACCAACCACAAAAAACCCAACCAAACCAAACAAAACATAAAAAACAGTTCAGCAAACAGCTAAAGAAAGATAATTCTTCCAGATATATACATGACAATCACAGCATGGTTTGGGTTGGAAGGGACCTTAAAGATCATCTAGTTCCAAGCCCCCTGCCATGGGCAGGGACACCGTCCACTACACCAGGTTGCTCAAAGCCCCGTCCAGCCTGGCTCTGAACACTTCCAGGGATGGGGCACCCACAACTTCTTTGGGCAACCTGTTCCAGTGCCTCACCACCCTCAGAGTGAAGAATTTCTTCCTTATATCTATCTAATCTAAATCTACCCTCTTTCAGTTTAAAGCTGTTACCCCTTGTCCTATCGCTACGTGCCCTTGTAAAAAGTCCCTCTACAGCTTTCTTGTAGGCCCCCTTCAGGTACTGGAAGGCTGCTGTAAGGTCTCCCCAGAGCCTCCTCTTCTCCAGGCTGAACAACCCCAACTCTCTCAGCCTGTCTTCACAGGAGAGGTGCTCCAGCCCTCTGATCATCTTCGCGAGCCTCATTTTCAAGAACTACTTATGCAATCCAAGATTTTGTAATTAAGAGTATCTCAGAGAAGTTTGTTCCATAGTACAAAGGAAGCAGGTAGTTGAAAGAACACCAGCAAGAACTTTACAGAACTAGCACAGGAATGTGAATGAAGACTGCTGTTTCGAAGTAACTCCCCATTTCCCCAAATTCACAAACTGCTTTCCTGTTATTTTAACTTTTTTTTACCCATTTAAGATTAATAGTGAGTGCCTATAATACCCTCTTTTCAAACAATCACTGTGCTGCAGTACCACTGACACACTAAATGATCTCTTTATGAGAAAGGAAGAAGCAGCAGATGGAAGTTCATTAATTTTTCTCTGTGGTACTCACTCTCTTTGCCTGAACAGAAAGAAGGTAAGAACGACCGTACATGGACCAGGGGCCCAGCCAGCCATCACCCTCTCTGACAGAGAGCAGCAGCAGATGCATACCAAGAAGTCTAACAACAGGCTGCAAATGAAGTGCTGGTTTCCTGATAATGCTCTCCCAAAATCCAGAAAACTGCACAGACAGACTACCAAGTTTCACAACTCAGTTGCCAAGCAACCTCCCAAAACTCCTTTAAACAAAAAGAGAAGACAAGAACAACAAAAACCCCAAAACTCACCGTTCATGACAGAACAGTTGTTCAGCTCCACACAGCCAAATATAAATAGTAAAGCTGCACACTGAACATGGGAGACTAAAACTACCAGAAAATACCATCTATTTCAATATCTTTGTTGGGGTTTTGGTGGTTTTGTTTTTAAATCACACCACACTGGACACATTTATCTCAAGCAGAGAGTTAAGAGGCAAGCAAGTTTCTTCAGCTTTGTCATTTATTGTAGTCTTAAGTTTAAAACGTATTTGGAAGTAAGTTTGGTTACCAAAAGTTAATGGATATTTTACTTGCTTTTTTAAGACTTAAAAAAAAGAGAAGAAAGAAAAAAGAAAACACACCTTATCTCAAAGTGTGCCTAAGGACGTATGGCTGTATGGACTCAGAGAGAATGATCAAGTACATTAGAAATTTGCAGAAAGAGTTTCTGCCTGTCAAAAACCAATGCCTTAACTTAGTGTTGCAAACCTGTATGCTGGTAATACAAAATTTCACTGTTTAGGGAGAAAGACATCAAAAGAGCTTTATGTATAGCATTAACGGTGTAATTGAGGATGCATGACTATGGAAAGGAGGCTACAACAAACTGACAAAACAAAAACATGGTACTGGCAGAGGGTTAGTATTAGCACATGCAGCTGTGGCTTTTTACAGGCAAGTAAAAGAGAGAACACATCTCTTCTTCAAATACCTATATGAGGTACCAGGATTTCTTAAAGAGAGCCTGAAAACATTTCCTTTTGGAAAGAATTAAAAAATTCACTTCTACTCTATCTTCGTTGGGATTTACACAATATTAAAATATACAACAAAGATTAATACAGAAACATAAGCATGTTTTCTGTTTTGTTCTGCATTCTTTTTATGATATTTGCCTCCTCCCCTCTTGGGCTCTACCAAAATTCAGGGTGATTGTTCTCAAACAAAAAATCTGCTTGGTCAATCACTCCTTCCCCAAGTAAAGTCCAGACTGCTTTATTCACGTGCATCATTTCACAACTATTTACACCAAGTTTTACCGACTATATCATCACTCTCACTCTCTTAGGAGACACTTCTGTATTTCTTAAAGGTCGACTGTATCTTGACTACCCCAACTCAGTTAACACTGGCAGAAGACTTCCTCAACCCACTAGTCACCCCCCTCCTCCAAATCACTTATCATTTTGCTTTTGATGATCACAAAGCAACATAGGTTTTACCAGAGATCCACACTAGACTGCACTGGTGACCTGCCTCCACTGTGCAAACTGTACTCTGGACTATTTTACCCAGTTATTTATCTACGCAAGGACTTGCGCTCTCTGTCCACAACTAATTACTTTAAAATTTTTGGTGGGAATTTTCAAAAGCAATTGATAAGATCGAGTAGATTTAAAAAAAAAAAAAAAAGCGTGTCTTGATCACAGTATGTAGGTCATCTGAAGATCCTTTTACAGAAATCTAAGGAAAATGTTTCCAAAACTATCTTGGATTGTTTGCAGGCAGCTAAATACTTTTGATAGTTTCAACAATTGCTATGACGTTTTTCTGCTACTTTTTTGTAAAGGTCAAAGTCAGAGAAAATAGTAACATAAAAAACCTCATATATGTGGCATATTTTTTCTTAGCCTAGAGGCAACATCCATCCCTTCCTCAAAAAGGCTGCTTCTGTAGGCATTTTCATTCACACTTTTTTTTTTTTTTAAATGACTGGACTATAAAATCTAGCTGAGAATGAACTACGAGAAGACTGAAAAACAGTAATGCACACAGGTAAAGTATACTTATGTTTTTTCATCACTTGCTTTTGGGGGGAGGGCGGGGGGAAATCAACTCAATTAAAAAAACAGCTAGCCAATAAGGCATCTAAATTTCACGTGTTTCTAGAGAAATAAATCTGTCTACCTTCCCAAAAAAAAAAATAGTTTAAAAAATAAAAACATCAGCCAAGCCTTCCATATGTTAGTAACCTGTGCGTATAAACATATATATCTTGTGTTTTATCTTACCTTTTAGCCAACCACAGTTTGGTTCCTATACAGGTAATGATGTCATCCAGCCCCTGCTGAAAGTCCGAATGAACGAGCTGTTTTGATTCTAAATATGACTGCAGCAAGTGAAAAACCTAAATAAATAAAAAAGAAAAAAAAAAATGAAACTAGAGTTTCTAGCCACTGCTTTTCCTCCAAATAACTCTAAGATGAAAACAACCACCTGCAAAATGAACAACTATTACCAAGGAAAATCATGTATTCATTTGGCATAACAACAGATGGAATCCTTAAATTGCCTATTCTTTAACTGAACAAAACACAGAAAGTGCTGGAAGATGTTAAGCTCCGTGAAGTGAGCAGAAGACAGCTTGATGAACACCACTCCTACTGGCCCTTGCTAACTTAAGCATCCCTCAACCTCCAACCTTTTTGCGGTGCCATCTGCTCACCAGTGCCAGCACAACTGTCCATGGAGCACGCTGGCAGCTTGACCCGCTGGATGGAGCGGGGCTGGTTGCACCATACAAGTACAACCAAGGAGACAGGGAAGGGTCTTTAAAATCCACACACTAAGCAAAAAACTTCCTAAAGACAGCAGAATTATCATCTGTAACCACTCCAATCTGCTGACAGAAAAGTATCTTTATTCCCGGTCCTGAGATCCTTCATTCAGGGCTCCAGTCAAACACAGTGGTCAGTTGGGTTTCACGCAGAAGGGAGATGCCCGCACCCTTCCCTTCCAAGGACAGAGAAGACTGAGCTCCTGCACTGGGGCTGTGCACCGACTACACTATCTCCTCTAGAGCTTCATATAAAAGCCCAGTAGACACATCCTAGCTACCACGAAGGAAAGAATTCAAGATACCAAAACAGAAAGCATTACTGTAGCTTTCTGGTCAGACAGTTAACAAAGCAAATAATTTCTGTTCTTAGAGACCTTCCTTTGCTATTTAAAAACAGGTTTTCCAAGTAGTATTGAATATACAGAAAAGTGGTAAGAAAAACGGAGTTAAAAAAAGATGTAATCTAGGTCATAAGCATGAAAAGAAAATATTGGATAATAAATGAAAGCTGATACCAGTTGTACAGTGGAGAGAGATTCTCCAAGCCCAGCCCCTGTAGTACCCATCCTCTCTGCATGCAGGAGAGAGTGCATGGCACATACTTCTGACACAAGTGACGATGCCCATATCATCCCACTTAGATTTCACCTTTCCCATTCATAGGCAAGTAAACGGGCAACACCTAGGTGATTTAATTGCTAAATGGAAAAACACGGAGACACGTGGTGCAGTACTAAAGCCTAATGGGAAAGATCTTGCTCAGGTTAAGGAGTTTTTCACACACGTGCAATTTGGAAGCTGGAATAGGAGGAACAGGGTGCTAACTCTCCCTCTTTCTTTAACTTGCCTTACAGCTTCCAAATTTGAAGTTCTGTTTGCCTACACAGGTAAGTTACATGGATAGACAAGAGAGGGTTTCTATGTAAATTGAAAAAGTACCCCCCCACACCCCCCCCGATTATTGATTGAAACTGGCAATGTGCAGAATTTAGGAAGCTTTAGAGGTGTTATCAGACCACTTCTGACAATACATACATGAGCATTTTATATGGAAACGCTCTTAACGTGCGAGAGTATTAGCACTTCATACATGCAAAGTGACAATTTTATGATCCGTTGATCAAGCTGAGGCCTTCACTTCACTTTGGGAAAAGAAAAACCTTTATATCCAGACTTTCACATCTCAGATCTTGGTTTCCCGCATTCCAGCTGTCACTTGCTCCTGGGGTTATATTTTTTTTGTTTGTTTGCTTGTTTTGGAAACACAAGCACTGCCGCATAGCATTAACTTGACACAATTTCATCTGGGTTATTTTTTGTGAAATTATTCGAGTGGAAAAACAGCTGCAGTGGTTTCAAATAAGCATGGAAACAGAACAGAAGAGATGTCAAGAGACTTCTAATCCATACAAACACTGAAGCAGGGTCTAAGCATTCTCCAACGAAACAAGTGGCTGACTGCCCTAATCCCGAAAACAGACAAGAAAGCAGATTCCAAAATATTTGTATGCATCCTCTTCTAGTGTTTCGCCCTCAAAATCCAAGCTCTTGAGGTAAGGTGTCCCTCTCCGCTTCCACCCTTGCCCTCACGGTAAACAACTGTTCTCTGGACACCATTCAGTCAGTCCAGATTCTTTCCTGGTGAGGTACTGATGAAACACAGAGATCCCACCGGGGCCCCTTTGACAGGAACAATGAAATAAACTCTCGTCTCCTTGTGTTAGCAGGTGCTCTCTAGGCAAGAGACATCCTGGAAAGACAGCTGTCGTCTTGTCTTTCTTTTTATAAAAATCTTCTGAAGTCCTCCGTACTGAACATCATTTTGTTGATGGCAGACCATCTTTCTAAGATGTTTTTTTCCAAGATCATTTTGAATTTTGATCTTTTCCTACAAAGGGCTTTGCAGAAGTGCAAGCTTGCAAACGTTTGAGAGTGTCACCAGAGATCTCCACCTTGAATCCTCTTCTTTAGCCTGCTCTTGCCTGTGCAACCGTCTGCTTATTAAACCCATTTACGTATGTATCGACTCAAAATTAACCTTTTTCATGCAAACCAATGCACAAAGATACCACTACTACTAGTTCCTCTCTGTTTTTTGTGGTTTGCCCTTAATCTCTGTTAAGTAATGGACACTACAAAAGAAAAGGAATGAAGAAGGAAAATAATGTATATGCAGAAGCTCTTCTTATTGCCTTTTACATCCTCTGCTAATGGAAAATCATTTGGTGCCTTAACCTTTCTGATTTTAGTCTTCTGTGTATGTGTTCATTTCCAGGAATAAGAAGGGATTTACCTCTAAGCAATAATATAAAATCTGTTTCACAATTATGAAGGGGCTATCATATTTTTTCCTAGAAGCTTAAATTAATCTCTTCAGCTTTGAAAACGACTCCCAAAGTGCCTCCCTCCTAAATACAAAGCAAACCTAAGTAGTTTGATATTTCAAGCAAAAGGTCTTGAGAGAGGGAGAACTGTGCATACTAAGCAGGTCAAATTTGTGGATTTAAATTAGTTCAGGTAGGAAATTCAGTGTCGAAAACACAATCAAAACTCCTCTGCAATTCAGTCTCTATATGAACCATATCCTTTCAATAACATTCAGAAGGTAAAAATCAGAGGGCATGAGCCACATTTAAGCAGTAGAATTAGAAGATGCAACTCATGTAAGATTTTGATTCACTCTTGAAAAATGTTAGCATTCATCAAAGACAATGTTCAACTACTACAGTTTACCCTGGTCCGACTTTTCACATATGCAAAATACTGATTTTCTCATTATTTCAGTGCAAGCCCTCTATCATTTATTCAGGTCCCCTCACCAAATCTGAGAGACCTAGAAAGCCTTCCCCACAGAGGAATTGTTTTTTTCAGCATACGATTTTACAATGCCTAAACTAAATTTGACATTGTAATGAATGTCTGCATGTTTTATTCAAAGCCTTATTTTATGTAAGCTAAAACTTGAGGCAACTGAACAAGCAATCTGCAAAAGTTAACCTCAGTAGTTCTTCACTTCCATCATGTGTGACACGTCATTGTTTGGCTTATAGTAATATTGCTGTAGCTTCCATGATCTAAGACTACAAGCCAGGCAATGTTTGCATGGGGAGGTAGCAAGTTTTATAAGACTGTTTGATATAGATAATAAAATAGACAGGCTTTCCAGCACATGGCTCTCCTCAAGCCCAAAATATTACTTGATTTAAAATCCTCTGCTAAATCCCTCACTTACACATAAATGCAGTGAGGTCATGGTGTTCTTTTTGTATGTGGTATTGGCTTTTTATTACACCAAGGCAATATATTAATGACTTTTTTCTTTTTTAAAGGTAGTTTTACAAGAGATCTGCACTGTCTGTAGAGGAAGGTTTATGAAGACATACAGAATGACAGCAATTATCTTTAAATTTGACATGAACTAAACACCGAGAAAGCAGCCTGAAAGCGTCTTTGAGATGTTGGGAGTCTTTTTAATAGGACTGAAGACACAACACCCAAGGTATTGTCCATAGTTCTGTGGAACCTTGCATTAAAGATGGCAAGTTGCTGGATGCTCACAAACCTTTTCTTTCCCCGAGCAGGCTGTTCAGGAGTCAGGCTAATACACCAGCAGGACCGTACAGACTGCCCGTCAACCTGGGCAAGAGTTGTTAAAACGGTGCAAGCCATGGGAAGTCCAGATACTTGGATACGTAATGGAGAACAGTGTCCAGTAATTGACTGTTCTGAGACCCTTTGATCCATGAGGTTCTACTGACTCTGAGCCAGTATGTCCTCACCTGCTGCAGGTAAAACCACCAACATGGGAAGACTTCTTAGTGCAGAAAAACACACACACAAAAAAAAGGCAGCAAGCCAGATCAGGTATGACACTATATCCTAATTAGCAAAACCCAACGACCCAGCACGCCAATGAATGGAAGTCATGTTCTGCTCTCCAGTCGTTCCCAACTTCCAGTACCTTCCCTCCCTTCCTTGGCATTGTCAATGCTTCGTCCTTCTTCGTCAGTTGTAGAAGCCTCAAGAAAAGGGGTAAAAGCAGAGGAAAGCAGGGAAGGGAAGAGGCAAAAAAGGAAACAGCCAACTTGGCTCCCTGCTGGTCAATCAGCATACACATCCTTCTGTCCTGTTCACATCCATCCCCCACCAAACAGCATGTTTTCAGATGCAACGCTGAGAGCCTTCTGCATCTCCCTGTCATGACATGAGAAAGTTGAGTGTTTTCTTTGTACCCAAGCAGGCCTTAAGACATAACATCTGCTAGTTTCCAAGCGTTCTTTTTGGATGATCAAGTAAAAAAAAATGCACATTACTTTGAAAAAATAAATACGTAAATGATTAGACATCAGCTAAGTCAAAAATATAAATCATGAGAAGCAGGAAGAGACATTTTTCTCTCCCACATCAACTTTGATATGATATGAAGCTGATCATTATCTTCAGCAGCTCTCACATCAGCTCAAATTGCTGTATTCAAGCTGTGAAATACACTATTAGAATAATGAAGCAATGCAACGGTGGATGAAAACTTGTATAAAACACAAAATTTAGCAAGTGCCTTTAAATTT